TGAACTCCTGACCTCAAGTGATCTGCCCGCCTCAGTCTCCCCAAGTGCTGGGATTGCAGGCATGAGCCACAGCTCCTGACCTAAATTTTTTAAATTGTTATTTTTTTAGAGATGGGGGGACTTCACTACGTTGTCCAGATTGGTCTTGAACTCCTGACTTCAAGCAATCCTCCTGCCTCAGCCTTCTGAGTAGTTGGGATTTCAGGTGTGAGCCATTGTTCCTGGCTTTAAAAGTGCTTCCTAGGGCATAGGGCACGGTAGTTAAGACCTTGGGCTCAGGATCCAGCCTAAAAGCCATTGCTTACCAGCTATGTGGCCCGGGGCAAGTTACTTTTCTGTGCCTCTGCTTCATTTAAAATTGTCATATTCTGTTTATTATAGCTTCTGCATTGATTTTGATTTTTCAAATGTCACATTAAAAATTTTTTTTGATCAGTGAGATTTGGGGCTCCCTTTAAATTTCGCACTCACCTCTTGTTCTGAATCTGGAAGCTGCCAGTGAGACCCAATGGCCTTTTTCTGTTCTCCCCCTGCTGGGGGTTGCTGCCCAGTCCCCAGCCTTCAGCCCACCTGCTGACCTCCGGGTCTGGCCTCTAACCTTCCTTCATAGCCCCCTTCAGGGCAAGGAGTGCTGAGCTGTCAGAGCAGGCCAGGCCACCCTGGAGAGCAAGGCTCTTGCTGTAGTCTCCCCAGCAGCCCCATTAACGTGTGGAGGGATGCAAATGGAGGCAATCCTGATGTTTTAGAAGAACTTATTATGTTTTTTAAAAAGATAGGGTGAAAGACAGAAATTGCAGGAAATTATATATTGTAGGAGCTGCTTTATCTTCTCCATGATTGATTCCAGTGATGCTTCTGGTAGGAATGGCGTTTCTTTTTTTCTTAACCCTCTCTCTCTCTTTTTTTTTTTTTTTTTTTTTGAGATGGAGTCGCCCAGGCTGGAGTGCAGTGGCATGATCATGGCTCACTGCAACCTCCATGTCACAGGCTCAATCCTTCCACCTCAGCCTCCTGAGTAGCTGGGACTACAGGCACGCACCACCACACCTGGCTATTTTTATGTATTTTTAGCAGATAAGGGGTTTCACCATGTTGTCCAGGCTGGTCTCGAACTCCTGGGCTCAAGCAATCCTCCTACCTTGGCCTCCGTAAGTGCTGAAATTACAGGTGTGCGCCACCATGCCTGGCCAAGGGAACGGCATTTTATTGCTCAGAGAGCACTGCTCTGAGGCTGAGGCTGTCGAACAGCTGAATCTCTGACCCTCAGCCAGAATTTGCTGCTCTGTTATCCTGCTGGCCTTGTCCATCTTATTGCCTCTTTCCCCAGTCTCTTCTTGGGTTCACAAATACATCAAGGGGTTGAACTATTCACAAGCTCCCACCTGTTCCTCTGACTGTAAACAAAAGGCAGAGACCTTCCGAAGCACAGCCCCAGGCGGGTAGTTACACACTCTTTGTCTCAAGGACTTCCCTGTGGCATGGGTACCCATTAGGGAGGAAGCTTGCCTTCACTTCAGCCTAGAAATTTCTCTGAAGGTCTGTTTTATCCCCCTCGGATTCTGCAATGGTGCAGCAATGCAGATGATCACAGTGGGCTTTTGGCAAATGTTCCTGGGTCTAGATTGTGTTAGGGAGGGCAGATAAGGCTAAGGAACAAAATCAGCCACCAGCCCCAGCAATGCTTCACTTATCTGCCATCAGGGTTGCAGGGAGGAAGTATCACACACTGGCGGATTTTTCCAGTTAGCTGAATTTCAGAGCCAGTCTTCTTTTTTTTTTTTTAATTTTAACTAGGTTGCACAGAGGCCTTTCTTAAATGGACTTCACACTTCTCTGACTCCTCAAACTGAGGTTAGAACGTAATTAAACTTATCTTGATGATTTGAGGTCATCATTTGGAATCTCAGTTAACAATCTTTGGAGCCAGACTGTCTTGTTCTCATCTCAGCTCCTCTTACTAGCTGTGTGACATCAGGCAAGGGTGTTAACCTCTCTGTGCTTTGGTTTCCTCATCTTTAAAATGGGAATAATAGCCAGGTGTGGTGGCTCACGTCTGTACTTCCAGCACTTTGGGAGGCTGAGGTGGGCAGATTGCTTGAGCTCAGGCGTTCAAGACCAGCCTGGGCAACAAAATTTAAAAATTAAAAACCTAGCTGGGCATGGGGCATGGTGGCACACACCTGTAGTCTCAGCTTTTCAGTAGGCTGAGGTGGGAAAATCGCTTGAGCCCAGGAGGTTGAGGCTGCAGTGAGCGGAGGTCGCACTGCTGCACTCCAGCCTGGGTGACAGAGAGAGAGAGAGAGAGAGAAACCCTGTATCAAAAACAAAAAAGGAATCATAACAGTGCTGCCCTAATAGGGTTGTTGAAAGGATTCAATGAATTAATACATATGACATTATATCTACCTACTACAGCAGTTACAAGGTAGAACCATATATATGTTTTTGCTTTTAGGGTAAGTTTATGGGCATATGCACAGGCTCACAAGGGGGCGCTATCTTCTACATTACCCAGCCTCAGAGAGGTTAAGTTACCCACCTGGGGCTGCTCAGCAGGGAGAAGGCAGAGCTAGGATTCCAACCAAGTAGTGCTTGGCTCCTTTGTGCTCTTTTTTTTTTTTTCTCTCTCTGTGTTTTGTTTTCTGTTTTTGTTTTTATTATTATTATTATTTTTAAAGACAGAGTCTCATTCTTGCCACCTAGGCTGGATTGCAGTGGCGCGATCGCGGCTCACCGCAACCTCTGCCTTCCAGGTTCTAGCGTTTCTCCTGCCCCAGCCTCCCGAGTAGCTGGGATTATAGGCATAAGCCACCATGTCCGGCTGATGTTCGTATTTTTAGAAGAGACGGGGTTTTGCCATGTTGGTCAGGTTGGTCTTGAACCCTTGAACTCAGGTGATCCACCCACCTCGGTCTCCCAAAGTACTGGAATTACAGGTGTGAGCCACCATGCCTAGCCCTTTGCGCCGTTTATTGCTGTCGGGTGCTGGGTTGAGGCAGCAGCCCTCCCAGGGGAGCACTGAATGTCCCTGGAACTTACGACCTGTCAAGTTCTTTTATTTTTTCCTAAATTTTTCCCCTATTCCTGACCTCACAGGGCCCAAGGGGTTGCTGGGAAGCAAAGCTAAGAGCTGTTGTCTCTGGACTTTGTGGCCTCTGTTTTGGTTGTTTCAAGTGTGTGCGTTTTATAGTCAATCGGTGCAGGCTGAGCAGGTCCTGGGTGGCTTGCCTGTGTTAATTCAGATGAGAGTGTCACTCGGGCGACCTCCAGATTTGGGCAAGGTTGTGATGATGACAGCCAAACCCTGGCTGGGGCTGGGAAGGCTGGGGGCATCTTGGCTTTCCACACTGTCCCCTGAGTGCCAGTGCTCCCCACAAGAGATGGCTATTTCAGTGTTCCCCATGTGGCATTGACTGCTCAGCTTAAAAGGACTGTGGTAGTCATCCCATTCAGCGTTCCGCAGATGAGGAAGCTGAGGCTCTGTGAGCTGGAGGGACCTGCTTAAGGCTATGCAGAGCCAGGACTGGAGCCGTGAGTTCTGAGTTCCCTGCTGGGGCCATCCCTGCTGCTCTCCTGGGCAGAGTCTGGGCCTCTCTTGGTGGTTTTCTGATGCCACTGTGGGTCACCTCTGTGGGAAGGAGACAGGGCCGGCTTCCCCGGTATGTGGCCTGTGTAGTCACACGGGGACCTGTGCTTGGTTTAATGCTCTGCCGTCACTATCTTGAATCTCCTGATTGTTTTTGAACAGAGGTCCCCACGTTTCCCCTTTGCACTGGGCCTCCCCAATGTATAGAGCCAGGTAGTAGCCCATCAAGTCCTGGGCCACATCCCTTTCCTAGGCCGTGGATGGGGGTCCCTAGGGGGCATTTAAAGTGCTCCTTCTGGCCGGGTGCGGTGGCTCACGCCTGTAGTTCCAGCACTTTGGGAGGTTGAGGTTGGTGGATCACCTGAGGTTAGGAGTTCAAGACCAGCCTGACCAAACGGTGAAACCCCATCTCTACTAAAAATACAAAAATTAGCTGGGCGTGGTGGGGGGGCACCTGTATTCATTCCCAGGAGGCTGGGGCAGGAGAATTGCTCAAACCTGGGAGGCAGAGGCTGCAGTGAGCCAAGATCAAGCCATTGCACTCCAGCCTGGGCAACAAGAGCAAAACTCCGTCTCAAAAAAAAAAAAAAAAAAAAAAACCCCCCCAAAAAAAAAAAAAAAAAAAAAAAAAAAGCCACTGGGCACCTCCTTGTGCAGGTCGTTCTGTCTCGAGCACTGCCCGTCCTTAGACCCTCTTCCCTATCCCAGGGCAACCAGAGTGCAGCCCTCCCTGCCCATGCAGCTGATTCTAAAGAAAACAGGGAAGTGGAGAAATGTAATTTGCTCTCTCTCAGGGGGGCAGAGTGGTATACTGGAAGACGCATGACTTTGAAATTAGTTTATTTATGTGTGAATTTCTGCTCTACCAGTTACCAGCTGGTGATCTCAGGCAGGTCACCTAACTTCTTTGACCTCCAGCTTCCCCGTTTGTCAAAAGTAACAAAGGATTATTCTGAGGACTAAATATGATAAGGGGTGTAAGGTGCTGAGCACAGTGACTGTCCTACACAGATGGCATCTAATAAATGTTGAATGAATGGGTGGGTGAATGAATGAAGGGAGGCTGTGTTTGTTGTCATCAAATGTCCCCAAGGGAAGGCATGTGGGGTGTTGGAGGTGGGTGTGGGGCAGGGACAGAGGTCACACACACTGTGGCTGGGTGGGGAAGCAGGTGTTCACATATGATAACAGCTCACATGCACACAGCTCTGTACGCCTGTTAACTCATTTTATCCTCACGAGCCTATGAGGTGGGCACTGCCACTACCCCCATTTCACAGGTAGGGAAACTGAGCACACAGAGGGTGAATCACTTGCCCTAGGTCACGCAGCTAAGGAAGGATGGGACCGAAGCAGGCAGCCTGACTCCAGCAGCCATATCCCTAACCAGTATGCCACCACTCAGCCTTTTCACTGAGTCCTTCAGCCTCATGGAGTTACGTCGTCTTCTCTGCCACCGTTTGGTCTTCAGTGGGCTGTGGGTGACTCATCTCAAGGCACTAAGAGGAAGGAGGCTGTGTGAGGGAGCAGAGTGACCCCAAGAGCAGGGCAAGTCCTGGGGTCTGGACGACAGAGCCCTGGGCTCAGCTGCTTTGAAGCTCATTTGTCAGGATGCAGAGCTTTCAAGTTGCGACGAGGATGATGGGGCCATCTCTGCCCAGTGCCCCATTGGCCCCAGCAAGCTGAGGGGCTGAGGGGTCCAGAGATCCTCACCAGGGCCTGGACACCTTTTCTGTACTCACTGTGTGTTGGGTCAGCTGGGGCAGGGAGCAGGGTGGGGGAGTCAGCAGGTGGGCTCTGCTTGGTGAACTTGGGGAAGCCGCTCCCTCTTCTGAGCCTTTGGCTTCTTAGCTGTGAAATGGTCCACAGTCCCCACTGTATCCACCTGAGAACGTTGGGTGAGCCTCTCATGAGTTGGTGGGTGTGAAAGTGATGCTGAATCTGGAACTTCAGTAACTGCACATAGGTGAGAGGGAGTGAGGCAATGAGGCTAGAGAGAGGGCTTTGGGGCTCGCAGATCAAGCTCAGAGTGGCCTTGGGTTTGCTATGTCACCTTTTGGAGGCACTCAGTGAAAGTGTAATGAAATCACGTGTATTGACATCCATCAGGGCATTGCCACGTGCCTCGCTCTGCCGAGCATGTCACACCCTTGATCTCACTTAGTCCTCATGACAACCCCGCAGATGTGTGCTGTCATCAGCCCCATGTTCTGGAGGGGAAACTGAGGCTCCAAGAGGTCACCTACCTTGCCCAAGTTCACACAGAGAAAGTGTTAGAGCTAGGATTCAAACTGGGGCAGCTGTGGACTCCGCCTGCTTCCCACCCAACTGGTCTGCTAGACCATTTGGGGGTCGGGGGCTGTTTGAGGATGGAATACGGGCCTGGGGCTCAGTCAGTGCTTTCCAGCCAGGGCTACACCTGGACCCCACGTGCCTGTCAGGGTCCGGAGCTGCGCTGCCACCTTCTCCTGCTCATGCTCTGTTCTCCCTCCCCTCCACCAGGATGTCGCCACCATGCAGTTCTGTGCCAACAAGCTGGACAAGAAAGACTTCTTTGGGAAATCTGACCCCTTCTTGGTATTCTACAGAAGCAACGAGGATGGAACGTGAGTTTTCTGGTGGCACTTGTGCACTGCGCCTTCTGGTCCCTTCTGGAGTCAAGGAGGGATGGGTTGTGGTGACTTGCCGGGCAGGGTGGGCTTGGGTCCATCCCCTTCTGCACTAGAGAGGGCAAGGGCTCTGGGTGGAAGTCTGGGGCCCCCGGTTATAGTGCCCTGGCCACCTAGGTGTGGTCAGTGGGAGGTGGCGGCAGCCTCTAAGCCAGTGGTGCCATTCTGTGGGTCTCAGTGATGGTACTGAGTGGTGGGGGCTAGGCATGTGGAGGGTGCGGGAGGTAAGCAAAAACAGGACTAGGGCAGGAATAGGGGGCCAATCCCTCAGGGATACCTCTGGAAGCTCCTTCATTCTACACAAATCAGCCCTGTCTCCAAGCCCAGTCCCCTATCCCCACAGCCCTGTCAGCATCCCCTGGCCTGGCCCCCCACTACTGCCCACACAACAGGGCCCAGTCTGGACCCTATCCCCTGCCTGGCCCCACACTCTGCCATAGGCTTCATCTGAAACTCCAGACTGAAGCCTGTGTTTCCTCCTCTCTTCTCCCTAGTCTAGAACCAGCCGCAGTAAGATGGAAGCATACACAACACGCTGGCAAATGTAGGTCAGCAACGTATGCAGGGAGACAGGTTCTGGGCGGAAGGTCTGGGCACCTAGGTCCTCCCCAGCAGCCTCCTGTGTGACCCGGGGCAAGTGAAGCCCCCTCTCTGGGCCTGTTTTCTCATCCATAAAATGAACCAGTTGGATTGTGTGGTCTCCACAGTCTCGTTAAGCACCGCAGTTCTGGCAGGCTGTGGCCACTTAGAAGCTGGGATTCTGCAGAATGAGAAAGTGATGGGGCCACAGAGGTTAATTAGAGAAGCGCTGCTGGAGAAGGGGAACTTGGGCTTTGAAGGAGAGGAAGAAGATGGGTCCCTGCAGTGGGGGTGGGGGAGCAGGGAAGAACGAAGGGCTGGGGAAGGGAGAAACATTTGGGCAAAACAAGAGTGCCCAGAAGGCAGAAGGACCTTCCCCCAATTCCCTTTGAACGACTGTGTGTGTGTGTGTGTGTGTGTGTGTTGGGGGGCAGGGGAGTGGTGAGGAGGAGGTGTGTCTCAGTTCAAGGGATAAGTGATTTTTAAGTCACGTACAAAACAAGGGAAATTAGGTATGATCATTTGCATGACAAAAGGATTCTTTGTCTCACCAAAGGACTCCCAGAAGGATTTCTTTAAATAATTTGTGTTGACTTTGACTTGATTTGATGTGGGGGAGGAGAAGACCTGAGCATTGTTCCCTGGGTGTCCACGCAGGACCCCTCCAGAGAGGCAGAGCCAGGGTCAAGCTGGGCTTGTCTGGCTGGGGCCGGCTGGGAGGAGAGGGATCTGGGAGCAGGAGAGGGGTGCGCTGTAAAAGGTGTTTGGAAAAGATTGCTCTCGCCGCCGCCGCCGAGGGAGCGGGAGCTAGCGAGCGAGCGTTGTGTAGGATGGGTGGGGAGGGGGTGGGGAGAGGGAGAGCCTCGTGACTGACACGGTGAACAGGTGGGAGGTGCTACCAGCTCCCACCCTGGAGCTGTGCCGTGGAGATGCAGGGGGAGGAAGTGGGGAGGGGAGGAAGGGGGCAAAAGGACAATGAGGGGACCTCACTGAGCAGGACTGGGATGGGGACCGAAGTCAGAGCCCTCTCCCTGGCAGTGGAGCCAAGAGAACCCAGAGTGCTCGCAGAGATGGGGGAGGTCGTGGGAGTTTATTTGGGGGCAAGTTTCATTTGAAGCATGAGCTGGAGCATCCTGGGGGCAAGGAGACACTGATCCCTCATAGGGGATCCCATGGGGCACTGGAGAAACTGATCCGGAGGCCCCCCCACAGAGGTGGGCCAGTATCTGGCCCCTGTGAAAGGGCAATGGCTGGGCTGGTAAGAACAGGGTGGTCACTTGAGGGTTTGGGAGAGAAGACTGGAAGGCTTGGGGAGATACCTCCAGTTAAGAGGAAGGTCAGTGGGGCAGCCAGGAGAGGGAACTGTCACACCAGCCACCGAAGGAGGGAAAAGGAAAGGAGGCACCTGCCGGGCCCGTAGAGCTGCACCTGATCGCTTAGAACACCTGGTCATGCTTGGCTTTCACTCAAGAGGAGGGAAAGGGAGAAGTCACTGGTTTCAGAGGTGGGAGTCTGCAGAGGGTCCACAGGGGTCTGTATGACTGTTGAGGGGGTGGTCTTTGGAGCCCAGCGGGGCTTCTGCACAGTAGCATCCTCCCTCCCTCCGAGACAACCCATTTCCTGCTCCCTGTGGTCCCTCTAGCTCCCTTTCCCCCACTGCCCCAGCCTCCTCTTCCTGCCCCACCTGCCTGCCCCAGCCATGGGCAGCTGTGGCCCCTTCTGCCCACATCCCCATTCCGGTCCTCGGTCCTCGCCACCAGCTCTGGGGTGTGTGAGGAGGTCTCCCACATGCATCTCCACACTCCAGTGGGTGGGCGAGAAGGAGCAGAGAAGAGAAACACTAAGCCATGGTGACAGAATGACATTTTGACTTGAAAATTGCCAGAGAAGAAATGACACCGGCTGTGTGGGTATGGGCGGAGCCCAGGCACTTATTCTGGTGACCTTTCCAAGCAGGGATGTAGCTGGGGTGGTGGTGGGAACTCTCAGAGAGACGCCTCTGCCCCCAGCTCAGCCCTGCTAGTGGCTGCCCGTCCATGTGGCAGGGCTGACTTCCAGGATGGGGCCAGCCAGGCATGGCGTGGGGCGTGGACAGGGACACCACATTAGGGCCCATCTGGGATAAGTCAATTCCGTACTTTTAGTTTGCAAAGCGGGTTCATGGATTCAGACTGGAAAAGCAGAAAGGGTCTTAGAGATCATCTAAGTCAGGTGCTTTAATTTCATTGGATTGACATTCCAGTGAAACCAATGGAAACTCACCCCCAAGAAATACATTGATTCATTTAAAAAGAATTATTGAATACCTATGAAGTGCCAGGCACTATTCTAGGCACTAGGGATGTGCCAGTGATTTAAAAACGACAAAAATCCTTGCTCTTATGGAACTTAGAATTTAGTGACAGATCATGAGCAGAATAAATAAGGAAAAAAATAGACTATATCAAAATGTCAAATGGTGACAAATGAAATAGGAAAAAAAAAAGTCTGGGAGGAGTCTAGGGGATGTGCGAGGCAGGAGACCAGACAGTTGTCAATTTTAGATATGGTAGTCAGGGGAGGTTTCATGGAGATGGCGTTCGAAGGTAGTGAGGAGTGAGTCATAAAGATGGAGATGGGGGAGAGAATATTCCAGGCCAGGGGAGCAGCAGGCACAAACAACCCATACACCTAATTTCTCCCACTGTTTCAGGGGTTCACAGACCCCTGAAGTTCATCCATTCATCCTTCTGTGGATTGCAGATGGAGAATCTCTGATAGAGGGTAACTGCCTGGGTTTACAGGTGGGGAGCTGGAGGCCGAGAGAGGGAAGAGCTTGCTCAGGGTTGCACAGCGAGAGGGCCCCAGAGCAGGGGCTAGAACCCAGGTCTCCTGACACCCTGGGACTTGTCCCCACCACCAGGTCCTCGCCTGCTACAGGAGCCCTTTCTGCAGCATCACCAGTATCAGCTTGGCTGCTGCTAGCGACGGACAGCTCATCACCTTTTGAAGGCATCGTTTCCATTGTCTGGGAACCAGAGATGTGAACCAGCTGACTCCTCTGTTGACCTGCACCGCCTCCCGTGGGTTTGGGCCTGACAGCCTTTCCCTTTCTTCTTCTTCACCAGGTTCACCATTTGCCACAAGACCGAGGTCATGAAGAACACCCTAAACCCAGTCTGGCAAACTTTCTCCATTCCCGTGAGAGCCCTCTGCAACGGCGACTATGATCGGTGAGATGAGAAAATGTCCTTTCCTCTTTCCTTGTGCTCCTGGGCCCTCCCCAAGCACAGGTGAGGGAGGCCCCATTCATATTGACTCGGTCAGTCCCATCAATAAGAACGAGGCCTTCTGGAGTTGTGCAGCGGGGTGCGCTGCACAGATGAGCCTCCCCACTCCTCCCCTGCTGTACCCTGCAACGTCTGCCTCTTCACAGCCTCACACCCTCCCCTCCCCACCTGCCCCACCTCTCTCCTCTCTGTCTGGCATCCCCACTGGTGGGAAACTCCCAAGAGGATGGGAAGTGCCCAGGATTCCAGGGAAACCCAGATGGGTGTCCCGGGTGCCCAGACCTGGAGCTCAGCAGCTCGTCTTTTCATTGTTCGCAGTGGAGGAGCAGATGGCAGCAGGGAAGTGGGGTGTTGACGCAGGCAGAGGCAGCTGGTCCCGACTCCTGGCCAACGGACTCTGGGGAGTCAAGATCCTGGGGACACACCCTGCCAGCCTAGTTACCGTAAACAAATGGGGTAGGCATGGGGTGCAAAGAGCTTCTGGGATATCTTTCTATTTTTTTTTTTTTAGACAGGGTCTCACTCAGTCACCCAGGCTGGAACACAGTGGCAGTGGCGCCATCACAGCTCACTGCAGCCCGGACCTCCCAGGCTCAAGTGGTCCTCCCACCCCCACCTCCTGAGTAGCTGGGACTACAAGCACCTACCACCACACCCAGCTAATTTTTTTTGAGACAGAGCCTTACTCTGTGGCCCAGGCTGGAGTGCAGTGGCGTGATCTCAGCTCACTGTAACCCCCATCTCCTGGGTTCAAGGGATTCTCCTGCCTCAGCCTCCTGAGTAGCTGGGACTACAGGAGCATGCCACCATGCCTGGCTAATTTTTTGTGTTTTTAATAGAGACAGGGTTTCACCATGTTAGCCAGGATCTGTTTCACCATGTTCACCAGCCTATCCTTGTGATCTACCCACCTCAGCCTCCTAAAGTGCTGGGACTACAGGCGTGAGCCACCGTGCCTGGCCTTTTTTTTTCCTTTTTGTAGAGACTGGTTTCACCATGTTGTCCAAGCTGGTCTCAAACTCTTGGGCTCAAAGGATGCACTCGCTTCTGTCTCCCAAAGTGCTGGGATTACAGGTGTGAGCCACCATGTCTGGCAGATTTTTTTTTTTTTTTAATTGAGATGAGGTCTGACTGTCACCCAGGCTGGAGTGCAGTGGCACGATTCCAGTTCACTGCAGCCTCTGCCTCCTGGGCTCAAGCAATCCTCCTGCCTCAGCCTCCCAAGTGGCTGGTACCATAACTATGCACCACCACGCCCAGCTAATTTTTTGCATTTTTGGTGGAGATGGGGTTTCACCACATTGCCCAGCTAAATTTTTTGCTTCAACATTTGCCTGCTCTTATTACATGTTAGCTGTCATCATTATCATTTGAGTGTAATTGGTGAGTGTAGATACCAGATACCTGGTTGCTAATCCTGACTCTGTGACCAAAAAGCATCATCCACCTGGGCAGTCTTTGACCTATCTGAGCCTGAGTTTCCTTATCTGTAAAATGGGCATTAAAATGTCTGCCCGCTATACAGGACTGCACTGATGCTCACAGGACACAACCTATATAACGAGGCTCTGGTGTGCATAAAATGCCAAATTTGGCAGGGCGAGGTGGCTCACACCTGTAATCCCAGCACTTTGGGAGGCCAAGGTGGGCAGATCACAAGGTCGGGAGTTCGAGACCAGCGGTGAAACCCCATCTCTACCAAAAATACAAAAATTAGCCAGATATGGTGGTGTGTGCTTATAGTCCCAGCTACTCAGGAGGCTGAGGCAGGAGACTTACTTGAACCCAGGAGGTGGAGGTTGCAGTGAGCCGAGATTGTGCCACAAAAACACAAACAAATGAAAAACAAACTCAGCATCTCATTCCCAAATATTTAGGGAACCCCTGCCATGTACCAGCCACTGTGCTAGATGCTAGGAAATTAGCAGGGAACAAACCTGTGATCTTCACTCTCCACCTAACCTCATGGAGTTTACAGGCCAGTAGGGGAGGCAGACATTCATGCAACAATCACACAAGGAAACGTGTAATTATACATTGTAGCAAGTGCCGAGAGAGAGTGGGGCCACCCAAAATGGGAACTGTGAGACTGCGTTGGTCTCTGTGGAGTCAGGAGAACCCACCCCCGTCTCCTGGTGATTGCTGCAGCTCAGGTGGGTGAGCTGGTGGGGGGCTCATGGGCAGGGCTCTCTGAACAGCCAAGAAAGCTGGGCCTCTTCTGGCTGCTCTGACAGGAGCACTGGGGAGTCGAAACAGACACCTCGAGTCAGGCATGGTGGCTCACGCCTGCAATCCCAATGCTGGGAGGCTGAGGTGGACTTGAATCCAGGAGTTCAAGACTAGCCTGGGTAATATAGCAAGAACCCCATCTCTACAAAACAATTAAAAATTAAATTAAAAAAATTAAAACATTAAAAAAAAATTAGCTGGGCATGGTGGCATACATCTGTGGACCCAGCTACTCAGGCAGCTGAAGTGAAAGGATCACTTGAGCCCACAAGTTCAAGGCTGCAGTGAGCTATGATCGCACCACTGCACTCCAGCCTGGGATGCTGTCTCAAAAAAAAGAAAAAGAGAAAACCTTGAAAAACAAACAACCAAACAGAACTGACCCCTTGGGGCGGCTGGAAGCCTGACCAGGCATGTTGTGGGGATGACGAGCAGATGAAAGGCCTCCCAGCACCCCTGTTTCCCTTCAAAGAACCCCCCAGGCTGCCAGTTTGAGACATGAGATTGCTCTTTTTCCTGCCTCCTGGCTGGGACAGAAAAGCCACAATCTGTTCCACAGGTGGTCGTTGAGCTCCTCCCGTGTCCCAGCGTGGCGTCTCTGGCTGTGTGGCATTTACGCCAAGGGAGCCTCGTTCCCATCTTTAGTGAGCCTGTAATCTGACCACAGGGAGCACAGATGTGCACATGTATTTTAGACAGATAAATAAGTGTGCAAAATAAGCCTGGGAACAGACTGTCTTAGAGCTCCAGTCAAGCGAGCCTCTGTTACACGTCCAGCTGGCTCCTGGGGCTTCGAGAGTGGGCGAGGGGATGCGAGGACAGGCTGCTTGGAGCAGTGAGCTCTAGGAGGGCCCAGGAAAGACTGGAAAGTCCAGGTGGAGGCGGGGGGCGGGGCCTGAGGACAGCGGCAGGGGAATAGAGAGAGATGGAGACAAAGTAAGAGGAAGTGCAAGGCAGGGGCATAGGAGAGTGTGGCAGTTAAAGTCTCACAGGGCAGAAGGAATTGGGGATCCCTGGCACAACTTCCCTGAAGTTGCTGGGGGCCCAACTGACTCCCCATAACCCTGTATCTCTAGGGAGGGGCTCCCAGGGTTGCGGAAGCCAGCTTTGTCAGGGACAGTGAAAGGGGCAACAGGGCTCAGAGTCCACTGGGCCATTGGAGGAGGTCAGTATTTATTTATTTGGTGGTGGGGGCAGGCTCCCACCTCCCCCTCTGAGGCAGAACCTAGCCTCATCTCCCTCCAGGATGGCTCTTCCCCACGTCCAGGAACAGATCTGGATGACGTGACTGACGATAGTGTTAATCAAGGAGGCCAGGCGTGTCACTCTGGCTCCGTGAGCGATCAGGCCTCTCCCCCACACCCCCAGCCCTAGTGAAACCCATGTACTCAACAGCCACTCAGGAGGTGCCAGCATCGGAAGGCCCTCCAGGGCAGGCAGAGGAGGGTCCTGTGCAGGAAAATGAGGCCACTGTCCCCTCCTTCCAAGACACCTGTGGGAGTCTCACAGAACATAGACAGTTTAATCCAGCGACCGTGTCTTCCAAGCCAGTCAGGCCTCAGGCGCTGTGTTGGGTGCTATGGGGGCCTATTGAACCTCCCTCTTAGGTCGCTCTCAGGCCAGTGGGGAGACAGACAGGTCATAATAACAGCAAAGACTCCTGTAGCCCTTAACCATGGGCCAGGCCCTGCTCTAAGCGCTTTATGTGTAGGAGCTAATTTAATCCTCCCAACAATTAGCTCATTGGAAAGAGGTACTGACGCTACCCACATTTTACAGGTGAGGAGACAGACAGAGGCCCTGAGACTTTCCCAGTGTCTTGCTGCCCGCCGATGGTAAAACCAGGATTCGAACCCTGGCAGGCTGGCTCTAATTCTGTGTTGTTAATCCCTCTGCTCTGATGCCAAATAGCCAAGACACGGCAAGACAGGGCTGTGACCAGGGTCCATCTGGGGGAGGCTTACTAGTGAGCGCCTGGCTCAGCGGTTAGGTGGGGAAACTCTTTGGGTTGGCAAAAGGCCTTGACATCTGCCTGTGTAAGGAGTGAGAGAAAGGAAGGGACAGTGGTTCCGCGTTTGAGAGCAGGAAGAGGTGGCACCACACACAGAAATGGGCAGTGTGATCGGGAGCCAGATTCTGACACACACAGATTTGTGTTATGCAGTTCTTTTCACAGCCTACCTGCAACCCATTCAAAAAAAAGTGATCCTTCTTAAGTTGTAAAGATTATGTTTGCTGTTTGAAACTGAGCTGCTGCCATTGAGATGTTGGGGAAAGAGGTGAATATGGCTTTAGCCACATTGAGAGGAGGCCGCTGTGGACCAGGCGCAGCTAAAGCTGTGGGGGGGGCGGACAGCAGTCTGCAGGTCCCCGGGAGGGGAGTGGCCAGAGATCTGGTGCCCTGGGTGGCCCTGTGGGGGATGCCAGAGGCCAGGAGCAAGAAAGAAGAGGAGATGGTCAGAGGGAGAGGAGGGCACTAAGAGCAGGGCAGCACGGTCAGGGAGCATCCCCACTCCTGTAGAAAGAGGTATAGGAGGGTGAGAACGGAGGGGCTTGATGAGAAGGGCAGTGTTCTTGGAATGATGGGTGTCAAACCCAGGTAATATGATTACAATTACTGAGGACTTAGGACATGGACCAAGTTGTATTCTAATTGGTTTAAACACATTATCTTATTTTCTGAATTTAAATTTCCACAATAACCCTAGGAGCTAGGTACTAGTGCTGTGGCCATTTTACGAGGGAAATGGAGAAGATATCATATAACTTGCCAGAGCAAGGAGAAGCCATATTTCCTTTCTGTTGAAATTGCCTCTGGCCTGGCCCTCTGGCCTGGAGTCTCCCTGCCTTTGCTGTGTGTCCAGTCCACACAAGGTCAAACCTGAGTGACCCAGCTGAGCAGAGCTGAAGTCACAGCAAGTAGCATCAGGGTCAGAGCCAATCTAGCCTTCCCGTGGGGTAAAGTGGGGTGATGACAAGAAGCCCTTCCCCTGCCTTCCTGGAATCTGCCCTACTGTCTTAATCATTCTGTGACTTGAGGTTGTGTCCCTGTTAAAACCATAGTTGTCTGGGTCAGGCTGCCATCGCTCACACCTTGAGGCTGAGTGAGTAGATTTTAAGAGGGTGTTAAGTGTGGAGTCCTCACCTGGAG